CATGAAACCCTTTAAGGAGTTTAGACTCTAGCTCATGTAGGAATTAGATAGGGCGAAGGGAAGAGAGGATGGAAACTACCATTGGCCCATTAGGCTTTAGAGTTTGGGGTCTAGGGAGATATCCCAAGAATGGAAAAGGGGAAAAAATCAAACGCGAGCAGGGATTATATCCTTCCAGACATATTCGATTATTGTCGGACATACTTCTCTTGGGGTCGTGCCAATTGTTGCCTACCATCCGTACAGATGTTCACAATATCAAGAAATCTGCAGGTCTGAAACTTCACACTACCGAATTCTGCGGCAGGACACTTTTCTTGTAATTTCAAAGTACCTCAATCAAATGAGCTTCATGGCCAGAAGACTTCCCCACGTACTACTGTCAAACACCACGAGAAACCTCTCTATCTAAACTCCCACTTCTGAGCCATGGCAACGCTGAATACAAACAACTCAGCTGTGGCTCTGTCAGAATCTCCATGTGCCTGCGCGGCAGAAATTCGTGGGTTGGCAGCACAACACACTAGGTTTGTAAGCAAGGGCTCGATACAGTGTCTCTATCTGAGCAGGTATGAAGAACAACATGCTTGACTGGGCTGCTGCAAAGGAACTTAATTTAAGTAACTATTTTGGGGAAACAATATTAATTACCATATATACCCATCATGGTAAGTTAATTCAAGTTCCTTAACAGCAACCAAGTTGAGGCTGGTCTGGGGTCTGGGAAGCCATGAAGGGCTACCAACTGGAGGACGTCCAGCGAGCGAGGCTTGACGAAGTGTACCAAACCCATGGGCCATCTGAAGGTGCGTTTGCTTACACTTAGTTAGCTAGGAATGAAGGAATGGAAAAGACAATGGAAACTACTATAATGGGTTATATCCTAGGGACGAGTATCAAGATCCATTCCTTCATTCCTAGCTACCCAAGGGCAAGTTTGGTGACAGGCTGCAGATGCAACTGCTGGTAATTCAGCATTTCGCAACACATCCCAGCTAAGGCTGCTCTGAAATCTCATATCCGTAATGTGCGCATCTTTTTGACAAGCCTTTCTGGACCCCTCACCGCATGCCCGCGGCAGCAAGATGCAATGAACAGCTTTGCTGACGCTTTCAATGCAGCCATGAGATTCCCCAATGCCTGCAATAAGCTGAAAATGCTTTGGGGATTTTCTCTCACAATCATGGGCGCTGTTTGGTTATAATGTATAATTTACGGCACCGAATATTCGGTACCCGTTTATGAGCCAAGGCTGATCATGACTCCCTGTATCTTGAATATGAGATCTATCACGAACATGAGTCTGTAGAAGCCCTCGACGCCCACATCCAAGAAGTCAGCGTTTTGCATTCAAGCCCTAGTAGGAAGTTGCCCCCGTCAAACAGTTTCGAGAAATAGCTCAAACTGCAGAAAGCTCACTACCCGGACGATTTCTTCAAACCCTGGGGCTTCCCCTAGGGATCCAAGTATACAAAGAATGCCTACATTGGGCCACGTGGATCCCTATATGCCCCTATAAACTCCTAGGTTCCATTTCATTGTCCATTTGCTCTTCCATTTGGTTCTCTATTATCATTGGGCTACTTGGATCCCTACCCTAAACCCTCAACCCTAAACCCCCAACCCTAAACCCTAAACCTCTCCCTAGGGCTCAACAAGCAATCCCCAGAATCGTTCCGGCGAGCCTTCCCACGGCTGCCTTCCGCTGCACTGCCAGGGCATGGAAAGTCGCGCAAGTGAAGGGGCCCTGACAGTGATGCATGAAGGCCAGGGGTTATATAGTATATTATAATATATTATAACATATTATGATATATTACAGTATATTATGATATATTATGGGTGATCTATTGCGAGAATGTCAGGGTTAGATTTGTTTAAACCCAAAGCAGCCGTTTCCAAGGCATGGGAACAGCCAGTTCAATTCTGTTTGTTTGGGTTCCCAGGTAGTACTAGTGCCGTTCGTTGAGAAATGCTGCCGTTTGGATCCCTCGCATTGCATCAAGAATTCTGTGCCTTGCCTCGAAATGTGCCTTAATTGGGATTCTCCGTGAGTTTCGATGTAGTTCGCCCATGAAGTGCCCTCGTAGACTTTCCTGGACGCTGGATCACTGATGAGCTTTGATGATGTTGGACCAGTCAGCGTTGGCCTTCAGATCTTTTCTAAAAACCTTAGGATGTAGGGTCCTCATGAAACCAATACAAAAACATATTTTTTCATAGCAATGACGGAAGGTATCTAATAACCCCACACGCCAACCCACCTTGGACCAGCTTAGTAGCCTAGGCTTGTGATTAGTAGAACCCATAACAGACTATACAAGACACCCCATTCCCATATGAAGCCAAGCAACTGAAGCAGTGCAGTACGGTGCTTGTTGCTCTAAGCCATATTCATAAACAAGTAAAAAGAGCCGTAAGAATAGAACGGAGACTTCTTCTGATTCCATCTTGTAAGGCCACATCTTCCTAGACCCTCCATCTGGCCTCTATATACCACTATCAGGGACCATATACCCCCATTTTTATAGTTACAGGGCAATTTAGAATAATTTGAATTCCTAATTTGAGGCCGTTTTGGTACTATTTCCAATATAAACCACCATTTAGGGTGAGGTCGGGTGAGGTCGCTTGAAATTGCCTATTTTTAGGGTACAAGGATAGTTTTGGTTCCTAGAAGGCTGGCCTCAGAAGTTCCGCTCAGGGGACCTTCTGGTTCACCGCCTCCGCGTGAACAAGAAGCACAAGCGTTCGGGATAGTACGGAGAAGCTACCACGTAGTATATTGGGGTCATATAGGGATCATGGAAAAGAAAATGGAAACGACTATAAGAATGCCCTAGATTGCCTGAATGCTACATAACGCATGTCGCAAGAAAGTCAGTTTGACCCACTGGCAATCACTGGAGACCTGCTTACGGCAAAAAACTAATCCAACTTACACCCATCCCAAGAGCTCTAAAAGCGAGTGGGCGCTAACAACGACACAAGTTGCAATTTTCACCCCCAATTGCTTCGTGAGGCGCAGAGGGTGAACCCCTTTTGTCTACAGTCCCTTAACCTCAAACCTGCAAGCCTCAATCCCATCTTCGCTTCTGTTCGTGACCTGGGGGCGACACAGAGCAAAGCGTCACGCAGGTGATTGCCTCTGGATGTGAAGATTTAGGGTTGAGGGTGCCTATATGGCATGGTTGGCTGAAGCATTAAGATTATGGGTTAAGCGTCTGGAATCCAGGATGTACAAAGAGCGTGCTTTGGAGCTCAAGCCTCGCAAACGCGCAGAAATTAAACCTCGAGGATATGGAATGCAGGTCGGGGACTCTTGAATTACTTTAGAACTGAAGAGGAACCACATCAACTTAACCTACCCAAATGGTAGCTTCCAGTAGTAGAGGTCCCAACCTACGCCCAAGTACATGCTAATACTCATCAATTGGGCCCCCTTCAAACAACGGCCCCTCTTGTCACCGGACGCCTCCATATGAAGAGGCTTGCTGTGCAGTTCTTGGCTATGCTGCTTTCACACCTGTAAACCCAAATCCCAAATAGTAGTTTGCACTTTCTTTTTTGCTATCCCAAAATAACTAACCTCCCAAAATCACTGTAATTCCCTATAGAACCCCTTGACCGCGATGTCCACCGTGCTGGTGAAGTTGGGTTGGGGATCAGGGCCTCTGCGTACAGCAGGTATGAGACCTGAAGGAGAAAATGCCCTCCCCGCGTAGGACAGCCTGGGTCTTTGGAACTGAACACTAGGCCCTATGAACCTGAAGCATGTGGAACAAAGATGAAAGCCTTGTACTTTGCAGGCCTTGCTTGAAGACCGGGCGGCATGCAATTATCTGAAGTCAAAATGAGCTGAGGGCGCTGCGTTTGCTTCCTATCAAGCAAAGTGGCCCTTGAAATATGGAAGCTTGACTCCTAACTCCTCAGCATCAAAAACCAAGTGTAAAATCTAGGCGCCTGTTTTGCTCCTGACTGGCTGAAAAACATATGCATCATCCGGCAACGCTGCAATGGTCTCGTAATGGCCAGATGACTCACAAGATGCAAGTTGAGTAAATTCCGTGGTAAACCCGCTTTGAAGCCAAATTGGCACTGGAAAATTGAAGCAAACTCTGCGAAATTCTGATATGCTAAGACTCTCCTAATGTCCTAATAGAGGGTAGGCGGAAAGGTCTAGGTACCTAAAACCCTCGAGCTGCCTGCTTTCACGAAAAGGGCCCAAAGTGTCGGCAAGCGGGGGAGGACGCTCCCGTCACCTGCCCGGCGTAGACACAAAATGCTTGAGGAACACTTTGGAATCTCTCAAAACAGGGGTACGCTAGGGATATATGGTGCTTAGAGTGATTACAAGGAATTATTCGAATCCCCAACACACTTGATTTTGAATGGGATTACTGTGGTGCTTGTAGGGGTTTGATGGGGCATTGAAGAGTCTGAGGCTATGCTTAACAATTCGATCCTCACTCGTTGGCACCTTGAACGTTGCCCAACAAGACAGGCAAGAGGGATTGCTTGGTGCGCTTGTTAGTCTTGTAGACCTGTTGCACTGGGAAGCATCAGCCCGCGGCTACAACTAGGTAACTTCAGGAAGGATTGCATCACCATCTGAACAGCATGAGACTGCATGCGCCCAGCCCCTCCCTGGGAGGCAGGACCCTCACTTCGCAAACTATACCATCACAAACACATTTTTGGTACTATGTAAGCTGCCAGGAATCTTTACTAGTAGAGTACCACGACCCCCCATATACCATCCCTAGCATACCAAACCACAGCAGAATCCCCACATAGCGACTGGGGGGTTCCCAAAATTAGGGACCCTTTTTGGGGAGGTCCCTTAATAAGGATCGTAGTATTTGGCGGTCTATACTGGGGGGGGGGGGTCCCCCTATTTAGGGAAACTACCAACTTGCATAAGCCTGTTGTAACACTCGCCAAGCTGTTGCTTTCTGCACACAACTTCAACCATTTCTGCTGACCAAGTTCTCTGCCAGCCTTGAATGCGCTTGCCGATATACCTGAGATCAGCTACAGTCAATATTTCCCATATAGTTGATGGATATGGACTCCTGTTAGGGAAAACTTTAGGGACTATATGGAACTACCAAAAGGTACTTTGGGCCCAAATTGTGCTCTTGGGGCACCCTAACCCTGAGGGATTCATATAGAGATGTGGTCTCCAGAGCACTGTTTCAAAGCAAAGCTAGTCTTTAGACTTGCTGTCCCTAGTACTGCTGATTAAATACCCCAAGGGGCGTGGTGTAGGATACCCAACACGAAATCATTCTTCTGAAGTGTACATACCCACCCTAAACCCGAAACCAAAACCCCAAGCTCCAAAGGATATGAGCTATAGTCTAAACTCCTAATGTCCCCCTTAATAACCCCTAATTATAGTAGTCCCCTGTTTTGACGATGGCTATGGCCCATATGGGAAGCTGTTCGAAGCTATGATGCGACTGCAGCACAGCCATGCTTCGAGAGGTCTGCAAGCCTTCGCTGACTTTGGAGGTCTTGGAGGTTCCTAAGAATGAAGGGTCCGTTTCTGGTCATCCCTCTATCCGAAATCACGACGCCAGTCTTGGTATGCCTTTCTGGGGCATCTCTTCTTAGAAAACTACAGCCTTGTTTGCAGAAAGGTGAAGTTTCGGGCGTTGGGTTGTGCATGGTGGGTGGCTACTAAACTACGTGGTGGTTTCCCAAAATAGGGGGACCCCAACATAGACCCCAAATACTGTAATCCTCATTATGGGGACCCCCAAAACAGGTATCCCTAATTTTGGGAAACTACCATGTGGCCTGGGCATCCGCGCGGGAATTACCCAGGCCTTATGTGGATATGCAGCAACTCACGGCTCTGCGCTTGCAGTGCCCGGTCAACAGTTGGGGGTCTTGGGCTTCAAGTTCACCTTGAAGTGGAGAGAGCGAACTGTTGTGCAAGCTGCGTTTCTGGCTTCCACAACAGTCCAAACAGGTTTGTAATTTGAAGTGTTCTTGAGGGGTGTAGCATAGTTACAACTCCAAGACCAATTCCTGAGCTCTTGAACCACGAGCTGCGCTACTGCACGACGTGTAGCGAGCAGGAGTATGAGCGCACGACCGCTACAAGCTTGACACAAAGTCACTAAAGGAAACAATATCGTGCGGTGCTCAATGGTGATGCTCAATTTTGAAGGTGTTCATCCCGGCAGTGAAGCAACATTGCGGTGCTCAGCGTTGAAATTTTTCATCCCTATATATAGAAAACAGCTGGGGCAGATGTGTTTCGTTTGCGGACATACGGTCTTCCAAGAACGCAAGTCCATTCCGTCCTAAGAGCAAACATCACAGGGAATCCCAAAGCTTAGTCAGCTTACCCGGCAATGTATAATTGCCGATGATGAATCACCAAAAAGTCCTGCCCAAAAGATCACCTCCACACTCTTATCAAATCTCACATGAAGACTCCGGAACGCCAAAGGCAGGCTTTTGGGAATGGACCAAAGTCTCAGCTACAAGCATCGTTCAGTTTCAATCTCCCGTAAGTATACCAGACCTAGGCTGTCCTGGCCTAGCCCTGAATGCTCCGGCTGACGAGTAGAATCCTCTCTTCCTTGCCCCAGGCCCATTCGCCATTATCCACAGTACCGTGCACTCCGACCACCCCAACCTGAAACGCTGAACCGCGCCCTGCTCAGGCCAACGTCAAGAGGCGAAGCACCAAACTCCGCGACAGCAGCTGGTAGTCCTCTCTAGTCTGGAATGCAATAGTGGGACTTTATTGGGGTTATTGGGAATATGGAAAATAAAATGGAAACTATAGGGATTATAGGGTTTATACGGGGTTTACATAGGGTTTAGATAGGGTTTACATAGGGAATCTAGGGTATTATGAAAGACATGATACTTGATCAGAATCGAAAGACATCTTCCACACATGGCCATGACTCATGACTAGCATCCTCTTCATAGTAGCCTCATTTGAGGGCGCCTTTCTATGGACAGCAGCAGTACAGCCTAAGTTAAAACAGGTTGCAGGTGCGTCAAGCCAAACATGCTCGCCTTTCCTTCGGAAATCGAAATCCAGCCCTGCGCACGGAATATGGACCCTGCAGTGCATTGCAAGCCACGTCCAAAACCAACAAAATTCAGCCGCTACGGAGAACAATTCAGAGCCATCGATGTCTAAAAAAGCAAAGCTGCCAGGCAATAATGCCCTTACAGCCATGTGTCGTGAGAGGGGGCCTTCATGCGGAGGTGAGTGGAATTCATGACAAAGCAACAAGTTTTTCTCCATGGACGCCCGATAAATGCACTGACCAACATTCTTCAGGAACCCTATATAAGCTGTAGTCTAAACTCCTTAAATGGGGTTATATAGGGGAGTGTTGGAAGGGTTACCAAGGGGGATACTAAGAGTTTAGTTTAGACTATATCTCATATGCTCTCGGGCTAAACGCTCTCCCTCCCGCATGAACCCAAGCGCACCCTGGCGGCCGCGGAGGAATCCGGCCCAGGCACCTGAAAAAAATGACCTATTTTGAGGGGGAACAGGGCTTCTTCATGGTGGAAGGTGGAAGCAATTTAGATTCTTCTCTCAGTAAAAACAACAACTAGAAGAAAACTATAGTACTACTCAAGTTGGGCGGCCATACAAATATTATTCAGAGGAGCAGGAAGCCCGCAGACTTTGACATCGCCATGGGAGCAATAAGATGCGCAGCACAGATAATTCTTGACAAGAACCACTACATCCTGTAGCACCCTATTTACCTTACACCATAGGAAATACAGTATATCGGTGCAGGCTAATGAAGGCATAGTCGTATCTTTTTCCTGCAATAATGTCATCATGTCATCCTGCTCAGGCCAGCCTAGGGCAAGGTTTCTGCCCCGAAGCCAGCTCTACAGGGGTCTCGATGGGTCATCTTTGGACCATGATGCCGATGTTTCGTCATCCTTCTGATGGGGTCGAAGCAGATACATACAGCATGAAGGGGGAGGGAGTTCTCTTGTTGACCGGTAGCTCTAGCTGACACATACTGTAGCAGAAACTTGCTTTCATCACGCTCCCACTTCATGAGCTCCGTGCTGTTCAAGCATCCAGTCTGTGCTAGATAGAAGCTTTGCTGCAAGAGGGACATGTCTTTTCCGGGACAATTCCTGGTTTAATCTTGAATCTGACAGCGATGGACAACCAAAGTCAACGTACCTCCCTAGCTACACGTTTATGGGATGTAGAGGTGACATTGATGGCAAGGTGTTGGTGGTCGCTTCTGGTCTGAGGGCGTTAGGCTCGCACCACCTGAGATGAGGACCTGGGACCTTGGGTGGCAAGTTGGCACGCGGTTTAGGGTTTAGGGTTTTGGGTTGAGTTTGAGAAGTACACTTTTTGGATTCTAGGCGGGTGGAATGTTCTACTTGCCATCGCGAAGTTTTATGAGTTCTCCCACTCAGGTATCTAATGGCTTACAGGACGAAAGCATCATTTAGCCGCAAGATGCTGGGCCCAAAAGACTATCGCAATGGCCAGCTCGTTTAACAATGCGTCCTGCGCAAACCTTTACGGCTTCGCGTGAAGGTCCATCTTTTGCTTCTTGTAGATCCATGCTTCCGGCACATTTAAAGCACAGGGGCGCAAGCTTCCTGAAGCAGTCCCAGCCTAAGACATGTTGCTACAGCTGATGTGCAAAACCTTCATGGCCCTGTATACCTCATCCCTTGGAATTCTGATAGTGTTGGTCTTCACGCAGCATTCTTTGCATCAACGCTGCTCGAACAGCAGGAAATTTGCAGGATGCATTTCAGCTCGTGATAAGCCGCTGAGCTGCACATCCGGCAGAAAGGAAACTCAACTCCATAGGCTTTGGGAGTCTTAACTGGGGGTAGGGTCACCACTCCAATCTTGAGCAACAACTACAGGAACTAAGGCAATGATAGTTCTTCTGGCAAAATACAGAACAGTGATTCTTGAGTGTATTGGGTCAGGATGCTTCTTGGTGCCCCATTAACCGTAAGCCCCGGGTGGTTGTGCTGGGGGTCTGGGCACATCGCCGGGTCCTGCTGGTCTGGGCACGCTGCCGCCAAGTCCTGCTGGTATGGGCACATCGCCTGGTCCTGAGGGTCTGGGCACGCCGCCGCCGAGTCCTGCGGGTTTGGGCACGTCGGCGTGTCCTGAAGTTCTCGGCAGGTCACTGTGTGCTGGAAATCTGGGCAAGTCCCCGTGTCCTGAGGGTCTGGGCACATCGCCGTGTCCAGAGGAAGTGCTGTCGCCTTCTGGCAACAAGTGCTTCTCAATCTCATCAGCAATCCAGCTGTCTGCTTTCAGAGACATATCCTCCGTCAAGCAGTCAATGTAGCTGATATTCGGTCTGAAGATGAAGTCCAGCAGTCCAGCGGCCTCATCTTCTTGGTCAAACTCATGTGTAGCCCCAGAGGGTGGCCGTGGTGGATACTTTTCTGCTAGCCTCAGAGGTAGCACGTCCAGGTGGTAGTCAGCGGCATACCGCAGCTCTCCATGGGAGCTGTAGGGACTGGCTGTCTTCTCACCATACGTGCTGCTACATGCACAGATCAGGACCCCACCCTCTCCTTAGTCGTCCAGTATCTAGCTCTTTTCCAAGCTTTGCCTTTTGATATATACGTATACATATACATCTATATATATATATACACAGGTATACAGACACACATACACGTCTGTACATGTACATGTGAATATCTAGCTCATAGGGTTCTATCTTACACCAGCTTGTTGACTGTAATCCACCCACTGTGCAGGCAAGGCTCTGTGGATCCTGGACAAATAATCAATGGTCATCCGGCCAAAGTTTTGGCCTCCTCGGGCTTGAACCATCAATACATCGCAGCCACGCTCTATCAGCTTCTCACGCCTTAGCTGCTGCCTCACTGCCGCTGATATCAAAAGTCCTGCAGGACCCCGCTAGACTGTAATACTGCAACTCCCAGGGCATAATGTACTTAGGGTCATAAGGATTTCTAGTATCTGGCGTGCCTATCACCTCCCAGTACATGATTAAACATTCTCCAAGCTCCCAAATCCAAAGTCTCTTTTCTAGCTTTACCCACACCCCTCCCCGCTATTTGCCCGCAGCATCTTCATGTGACGTGCGCATCCAAGGACATGGCATCCGTATATAATACTTCCACAATTGCAAGATTACTGTTATTTAGAGCGAAACAAGATATGACGTTCCTTTCGACCACATCCACAACAAGTGAATCCATGCC